GATGTGTGCAGCGCATTTTACGGAGGACTGTTTCCTGATCCTGGTAGAGTAGACTACAATGCCAGCTGTTCTGAATCACAGTCTGTAAGTACGTTTTCATATTTAAAGAATTTGCCACTGATGATTCAAACGCGAGTTTTGAGCAGTGTAGAGTAGCACTTGTTGTTTGTCATTTCTCCGATCACAAATGCAGACATGGTTTTATGTTTATGCGGCGCGATACAATGCATTGCGTAAAAAGACAGTATAAGTCATTATAATCCGTAATTATGTCCCCACTGGATGCAACAAATGCCTCATTTATAATGGGTTTTCATGTTTTCGTCTCGTCGCTCCGGGACACGGCATCATATGGTAAGGGGCGTAACATTTCCATCACACGCCTGAGGTATTCGGCCAATCACAACGCACTGGATAGCTGGCCATATAACTTCAAATATGAATTGATTCTTATTAAACAAACAAAAGTGATTTAGTCAAGAGATGTGATTGAGTTTCTCTTTGTCTTTTGTTGTTTGGTTAACATTAATGACACAAGCAGAAGCAAGTTTATTAGGCTCTTGTCTCTTTAAGACCGAATGCATGGACCCAATATACACATCCGATTTACGCCAACTGTTTACCTTCACTTAGGATATAACTGACTGTGTTTATGTAAATACTCCACACATTAGGCATTAAGACATAACTGTGTGCATTTGACCATTCGAGCGCAATAAGACCCAGAAAGAGAACTGAATTCATAATCGCATACTGTTGGTAAAGGCTTCAGAGAGGCGACTTTCTGTGCACGTTTTGGTTGTGTCAGTCAGCATGAGCACCGCATTGAGTTCCTTATTCATAGCTTACTGCGCTTAATAACTCTATTTAACAACAAGCACTTCCTGCTCTTTATTTTCTCATTAATGCATGTTTTTTTATATCACTCTTGCATATCAATAAATTTTAATAATATGCTACGCTGCTACATTTACATACCATGAAATAAACAATAGGCTATATCCAGTGATAAACACGTTACACCACGCTCACAAAGGATATTGTCATACAGCCCAGCTCTAGTAAATGATGATAAAAAAGGTAAATTTCTAGGGCAACTTATTCTTCTAATAGACATTTAATTCACAATCAGCTCCACTTGTGTATATACTGATGTTCAATATGATGGTATACATACTCTTCGGAGGTGTGACGTGTTCCTGCTTGGATACGGCCCATTCATGGAGGGTGAAGTCATCTCCACCGGTCCAGACTAGGTCTGGGTGAACAGTGGACCACTGCACGCACAGTAGTCGGCCTGAGTGACCCCTGTAGTTACACACCGGCTCCTCTTTCAGCACATCCCACACCTGTGAAAATCATTAAGAATTATTAGTTAATTAGGACAATCCATACTCATCAAATTTAAAACTGGATAATCCAAATCACAATATTGTTTATTATATTTTCATCAAATTTCCAGATAAAATAACCTTGATTCCCATGATATTATTGGGAAACAAGTAGTTTTTTTTATAGTTTTATTTTTTAATCATTTTTAGCAAAAAAGAAATTACTTGCCTGAGCAGTTCCATCATAACTCACTGTCACCAGACGGCCATCGTGATGGGGGCTCCAGGTTAGGCTGGTGATTTTGTTGGTGTGACCAGAGAGAGTTCTAAAAGGTTCAGTCATCAGCACTGGACTCTCTGATGGAGTTTCTGTAACAGAAAAAAAAAAAGAGAAAAACATATACATGGTTATGGTTGGCTATGCTCGGAATACCATACTATTCTTACTATAACCGTAGTATTTTCTATATGCACAGAATAGCCAACAAGTATAGATACAAGAACAATCAAACAAGGATGAAAAGCCGATTCTCACCAATGACGCTCTTTAGGTCATGGACATAGACTATGGCATTACTGGAGCCAGACGCCAGCAGATACTGCAGCTCATTCTGAGAGGAGTGTTCATGATGCCAACGCAGTGAATTAATAATCTTATGATGCTGCTGCACTGTGCACAAGAGCTTCAGCATGGGAGCCTTCAATACCTCTATGGACCTAAAACAAAAACACTTATGGAGTGAGACACTTGACACAAACTCTTTGATACATAGCACTCTACATTATTGCATAAGATACCATGAAATCCAGTTGTGCATGATTCATCTGAAGAAACACAACACTTTATTCACCTAAAGAAATAAAATGGTCTCATTCATAATCTTGCATTTCTGCATCCCTAAAATTATTTTTATTTTCTGCTGATGTAATCAAAGCCATGTGGAGAAACATTATATTAACAAATAAAATAAGTAAATAAATAAATAAATCAGACCCCAAACTTACAAACATTAGTGTATACTTCTATTTTCATAACATTTCACGATTTATAAATTAACATAAATGTTTTCCCCTCATTTGATACATTATACATTGTGCAGTGCAAGGGGGTATAGATTATTACTTATCTAGACTAATAAATGATTTAGAGATTGATAAATATAATTAATCAATTTATTACTTGAGGAAGAGGAAATAGTTTTGATCAACATTATTACCCATCTTCATTTCCAATGGCCAAAACACTGCTGTCCGGCTTCCAGCTGAGGTCTGTATGGGGGGGGGTCTTGTGCTGGATAACAGAATAATATTTTATTTAGAAAAATATACATAAAGACGAATATGAACAAATTATTTTTCATCTTACTTTGATGTTGTTAGTGTCTCGGATGAGTTTGTCAATGTTACTGGCCTCCCCTGAGAGTTTCCAGGGGTCGTGCTGGAAGATGACCCCCTCTCCGGCACAGCTGTATAAGCTGTAGGACGGCTTGTCTCCTGATCCCCCTGTGCCACACACATACATAATTATTAGCAGCAACATCACTGTTACTATTATTTATACCCCTCTGAACAAACAAAAGCAATTATCTCCACCCCCTTGAGCATCGGAGATGGATACAGTGATGAATGTGTCATTTCTCAGCGGTGAGGTGAAATTAAGTTTTCATTCCTTGATTATCCAACAAAATCAACAGGGGGAAAGAAAGCAATTTGTCCACACTCGCTCAATTGCGGAGTGTGTTTAAGAGGAGCTGGGCATCACTTATTGCTGATGGATTGTTCTTGGTGCTATTCCAAGTTCAATGTTTACTGGCCCATGTGGGTTTGTGTGTAGTTTATGAATTAACTTACCAAAAGACATGGGCGGCACAGGAGGGCCCCATGAGAGGGAGTAGACGGTTCTGTGGTGGTAAGTGCTTGATATTTGAGGCGGCCTGTGTGTGAAAACAAATAATGAAATTACATTTAAATTAAATCAAACTAAATTCAATCAAAGCCAATTTTATAAATAATATCTTGCATATTAAACGTAATATTGAATCTTGCATTCAAATGAACCTAAGAAATTGCAACATTTCATATGCACATATACAGACCAAAAATAGTGAAAATTGATGGTATATCTGTTGTTCTTACTTGTTAGAGTAAACCTCATAGATGCCCACTTTACCGTCATCTGTACCAAATGCCAGAGAGCCCTCTTTTAGTGGATGCCATGCCAGCTGGAACAGAGATGGGAGCAAAAAAGGCATTTATGGCCTTGATTTCAAACTAACTGGATGGTACTGAGGGAAATATAAATGTGACTTAAAAAACATCTGACTCACGGCTGTGACTTTAGATTTGACCCCTTGCCAGAATGTCTTGATGTCATATTGGTTCTGAATAGACAGGGTGTTCCACACCCGGATCATGCTGTCCCCGATGCCTAGAGCCAGGCAGCCGGTGCCAACTGGAGAAAAGCTGAGACAGTACACAAACCCACCCAGAGTGGGCAGAGTCCAACAGCATTCCAGAGATGCCAGGTCCCAACACTTAATCTAAAATGACAATGGATTGAATGATTTGAATCTAGAAAATCTAAGAATGATAATAAATAGACAAAAATCTAAATGGGTGAGGGCGAGCCATTTTAGTTTGTTTGGAATTTACATAAAAGACATTTACATAAAGTCCACAAGATAAAATAATAGTTGAATTTATAGTTGGTGTTTATGGGGGTTGGGTGAAAACTCTTGAACAGAATGAAGATGTGTACATTTTTGTTATTTTGCCTAAATATCATACTTTTCATTTAGTTCTGCCCTACAGAAGATACTTACACGTTTCCCGGAAGACAAAATAAGTTAAAGGAACACTCCACTATTTTTAAATATAGGCTCATTTTCCAACTCCCATAGAGTTATATCCCGTACCATGGGTGCAGCAGGCGCAATGATATTAGCGCCTGAAAATAGTCCCCAGCTAGGTAACTTCCAATAAGCCTATTTTCAGGCACTGCGTAAAATATCATTGCGCCTGCTGCACCCATGGTACGGCAGCAAAGTTCCTTGATTATTACGCTGGAATGAGAGTATAGTTCCTAGCCATATCGGCCTAGAAAATCGCAACTTTTTATTTTCCGTCGGTCTTAGTACACGATGTAACTACAGAAGAGTCAAGTTTTAAATAGGAAAAATATAGAAACTCTTTGGTCATTTTTGAGCGAGATGCTAACGGTCTAATCAAATTCAATGATCTATGCTAAGCTACAGCTAAAAGTGCTACCGCCAGACCCGGAGATCAGTTGAATGGATTCGAAAACGGTAAAACTCAACTGTTTCACTCTAGGGGAGTTGGAAAATGAGTTTTCAAAAATAGTGGAGTGTTCCTTTAAATTAACCCTGATCTTCAAATTCAAAATCAGTGAGCATATGAACCTTCTGTAATAGTTGCATATGAGTCCCTCAGTTGTCCTCTGTATGATTTAGAGATCCATCTTTTCACACTGTCATTGTTGGAAAGGGTTCAAATACACAAAAATGCTAAAAAAAACAAAAAAACAAAAAAAGAATTTGTGGGACCGGAAGGATTTTTCTGAAGAACAGCAGACAGTTGAACTGTTCAGGACAAACAAGGCACTCATGAACAACTACCACTAAACAAAAAAAAAAACAGCTGTGGATCATTCAGGTAACAACACATTATTAAGAATCAATGGATGTAAACTTTTGAAAGGGGTCATTTTTGTAAATTCAACTATTATTTTCTCTTGTAGACTATATGCAAACGTCTTTTATGTGAAATATCTTATTCAGGTCAGCACTAAATAAACAATAACATGTATTTTGTATGATCCCTCTTATTTTGGTAAAATAATTAACATTTAGCAGATTCTGCAAGGGGGATGTAAACTTTTGACCTCAACCGTATACATTGCATTATAAATTTCCTTCTCACATATTTGAGGGGCATGTTGCTTCTAAGGAAGTTCTGTGGTGGTACACAGTATACATAGAACATGGTACTGAAAGATTACCACATTTTGGTGAAAACAGTTTATAAGCACATATTATGGGAGGAAGGTCTCACCTCTCTGTCCATTGAGGTACTGAGCAGAAGTTCTCTGTCCCCAGAGTGAAACGAGCTCATGTTAAAGACGATACGGCTGTGATTCTGTCCATCTGAGGAACTGCCCAGCAGACTCCACTTCTGCTTGCCTGACTTCTTGAGATCCCACATTATGATCTCACCGCTGCACGCCAACATTCACAGCGAGTCAACTCATGTTCATTTACAAGAAAACATCCTCTGACACAAAACAACCGTTTGGCATCTCATCTATACAACCATACCCGAAACAGCTGGACACAATCTGTGAAGGTCTCCCCTTAGGCCAGTGGACAGTCAGCCAGAGTCTTTCCTTCACTGCTGTATCAACTCCTGCTCCTCGTCTCTTCAGGAAGGGAAGCTTCAAGGTCATTACACCTGAAAGGAGACACACTGTGACCTAAATGACCCTGCACCTGAAAGCTACTATAAACCAGTCTTGTTTGTGCAAGCTTTGGGCAATGAGTCTCTCTGTCACCTTTTCCTCTGGCTGTGCACCATATTCGCACAGTTTGATCTCGACTACCTGATGCCAGGTAATACCCCATTTCTGCTCCTTCTGTCACCCCATTGCTTCCATCTATAGAAAGAGTCAATGACATGTCACTTATCATTTTGTCTTCTCTATTATTTCATGGGTTACTAATCTTTTTGTCAGCTGAATCTCTTTGATGCAAAATATACTTGAAGTCCCGCTGAGATTTTAAATTAATATTTCAATAATTATTTACATATTCTTTCCTTTGTTCACAGTTCTCTGATGTAAGTTAAAGGTCACATGACATGCAAGAAAACAGATAAAATATCTAATAAGTAGGGGTGTAACGGTGCACAAAGTTCACGTTTCGGTTTGATACGACACATTGGTATCACGGTTCGGTACATTTTCGATACGGGGGGTGGGGTAATTGGTTACATCGCAATGTTGGAAATATTTCTGTTTTAAACCATGAAGGTGAGCCAATGGACATCACATAAGCAACGTGAAAACTTTGCGCAAGATTTATGCGGCGAACGTCTTAATCTCAGTCAATTCACTATGCAGAATGTGAAAATAAAAACGGAATGACGGAATAATGACGGAGCTTTCGGCATCTGACGCCGCATATTCTCTCAGAGACGACGAGAGACGAATCTACAACATATGCTGATAATGGTATATAGCTAACTGTTTTTATTTATTCCCTTAATATTTCTCTTGTGGCCCATACATAGTGGAAAAAAAAAATGAGAAGAAACATATTTCGTGTTAAACAGGTTATTTTTGAAAGTCGGTGCTTAAAATAAAAGCTTTTTATTTCATTGATTTTTATTGATGACTGCAGTGTTAATATTTTAATTATAGGCCTATAATTCATTGTATAATAAACCTGTTTTAAAAGACCTTTTTTTTTTTTTTACATTTTAATCGAGGAGTAAATAGCCTAACCTTTTGTTATCCTCGCAGTGCGTCAGTTATGTGGTAAATATTGCGGGCAAATTAATTGTAATCTTAATTTAATAATAAAAGTAACTTCATAATAGGCCTAATAAAATAAGAATGTAACAGGCCTACATTAATTGGAAATGCCAAATCATCTCAATATTGTCAATAATTGATGTTTTTGACAATATCTCTGGCTATCGTCGATACAAGATCATTGTCTTTCGACGCAACCCAGCAAAGGGAGGTTATCGCTGGGCCGTCCGCTACGCCACTGGCGCAACTGACGCAGTTACGTTGTTTGGGCGGTCTTGTGGAGCGCAGTGGCACTGAGAAAATTATATTTCACACACTTTAAGCTCTTTTATTTTCCAAATGTAATAGGATTAGTCCAACAAATCGTTCGGTTTGTAATGCATACCGAACCGAAAGCCTCGTAGCGAACGTTCAATACGAATACGTGTATCGTTACACCCCTACTAATAAGTTATTTTGAATTTATATTATATATCTATTACAATTCTTATTAATATTTTGTTTTTATTTTTATATTTTCCTCTGTTCTCATTTTAATTTTAGAGAATTTGTTGTGTGCTTTTGTTAGTTTGAGTATGTCTATATAGTATTTATTAACTTTTATTTCAGCTTTGAGTTTTTTTAGTACATCAGTTTAACTAAATGAAAATAGTTGCTTCGGCAACTAGCTGAAATAAAATAAGTTGAAGTTTATTATTTTATTTTTATTCATTTAAAGTTTATTTTATTGCGAGTAACAAGTTTTTATGGTTTTAATTTTAGTTAATTTAATAACCATGGCGCTGCACTTTATGTTTATTTGTTTGTGTTTAACAACATGTCAGCTTCTGTGGCTATTTTCATGGTGAGAAAATTTATGGCTAAATTATAGTGTTTTTACAAATTATTTTTTTTTTTGCTAAAAACTCTAAAACTGTATTTGAAGTAACTCTGTTAAAAATCTCTTCAAAAGAGTTAAATGAATAAAAAAGTTCTCTCACAGAGTTAAAACCAGCACAATCTAATAAAACATGCTTCATGGATAAAGGGTTTTGGCAGAGAGAACATGTTGTGCTGCAACCAGCACAATCTAATAAAACATGCTTCATGGATAAAGGGTTTTGGCAGAGAGAACAAACATCTTTACTCTGAAAAATGCAGCGAACTTACAGTACTATATTCTTTTTAAATTAAAAATCCAGCCTTTAATTTGATAATAATGTTTTTATGAGATATATTACAATTTCAATTTTATTTCAATTAATTGTGCAGAACCATTTTTTTTATTTTAATGTTAATAAATTAATTATTAGGTTTTCATCAACTCACAAACCCACTGCACTTCCCTTCCCCATTTGGGAAAGGCAAGGTTAGTTCAGATTTTGAAATGTCATTTGGTGTGACTCCCAAACACTTAATGGTAATAACTGACTGAGGCAAACTGGATCTTTAAGCATGTCTTGATTACCCGTGTTGTCTTCTGATCGCCAATATAGAGGCTCTTCTCTGGGTTGAGGGCACCATGCCAATGCGTGAATCTCATCATCATGCCCCCTCAGCCGATGGATTACCTCCCCTTTCTTACTGATGTCTATCACTACTATCATTCCATCCTTATACCTTTAAGAGGAAGCATAAACAGTTAGCATGCACCACTGATGAGTCTAGAGCTCTCTATGATCACAACACATATTGAATAATTATACAACGAGCCTTTACCCCACTGCGATGTAGTTTTCCTCATGTGGAGAGCAGGATAAGCAGAAGATTGTTCGAGGTTCGGGGAAGAAGCTCTGGGTGTCATTACTGCTAAACCAATAGCACACCACAATGCCCTTTTCATCTCCAGTGACTAGAAGAAGTTTCTGCACCGGAGACCAGTGGACTGCAGAGATGGTGCTCTGTTCAAACATATGGTATGTCAGTCACCATGATTTTCTATGATGTTCTATGCCTTGCAAACTTGAAGTCGGTATTTTGTAATATATTTAAAGTCACCATGAAATCAAAATAGACATATAGACATAATTCATACCTTTTATGGAATACTGCATTGTTTATTATAAATGATTTATTCATGCACATTATTATTTAAAAAAAAAAATCATGATGGGGAGAAAAAAAAAACTAGTCCCACCCTACGCTTTTTCTCATTCGAAAAACCATTTTACTTGGATATTGGTCACAATAATAAAAAAGAAAAGATGATCATAATTTCTGTTTCATGACGATTTTGATATTGTTGGTTGCAAACTCTGCTTAAATATTTAAGCAGCAAAAGCAGTTATGAGTTTATGGCTGTCATGGAGTTATATTGTAAATTAGAAATATTTTCTCATTCTAGAAGCTGTTTCTCTCATACATATATCACAATAGGGATGAAAAGATGATGGCAATTTACGTTTCATGTCGGCCTTAATGTTATTGCAAAAATGTCACCTCACCAGTGTTACATTTTGTAGCAGAATGACAGAAGTGGTTGTCCAAATTAACTTGTGATATGGATAGAAAATTAGAAACAAATAGTTTTTTTGCATTGAATGCCATCAATTTAGTTTGATTTCATCTTGATTTAAGTAGTGATTTCATGGCTTTTACTATATAGAAGCAAAAATGTCCTGATATTGACAGCAAATCAAAAATCTAAATCTAATTCTAAGTTGTTTAATGAAAAATATAAATAATTATTTATAAAATAACTATTATAGTTACTCTATACTTAGAATTATTTATATTTATTTAACAAGATGTTAAATATACTGACAAAAATAACATTTATTTCATTTGGAGGCAATGAAACTGTTGTCCAGGCAAGTAAAAATGTTATTGTTGAGTCCGGAAGTTACACTTTTACCACTGTAGAAAATGGCAGAAAGAAAACTGTAATATAGTACAAAACTTGTTAAGGGAACAAACTGTGAGCCAGTTACAACGCTTTAAGAAAGACAGGTAGAATATTCACTCACTTGGTGGACATTGTGCTCTTTCAACAGAATTTTCTGCTCAGCATCCCAGATTTTGACTGTCTTATCATCTGAAGTGCTAGCACAAATGTGTTCTTGTCCATCATGGGAGCAAAATACAAAACCAGAAACTCTTTCAGTGTGCCCAGTGAGTTCACCTGCAGAAAGAAGGTCTAATCAGATCAATGTGAATTTGCAAAAAGCATTATATTAAAGCATCCTGAGCTCATACCTGTTACTGCTGGAGATACTGCAGTCACATTTAGCAGATAGATTGTATTCTTTGCTCCAAAACCCAGCACTCCCTTTCCATTTAAGTCACTGCAACGTGAACAGTACCAGTTTGGAGACGCTGGCAGATGTCGTTGGTGCATTTTAAAGAGAAAATGACCTCTGCATCAAGATCAGAGGATAAATTCACGGATAGTGACAGTGAATTCACTTCTCACATCTACTCATGCTGCCGAAAACACACCGGCCGCCGAATATCAACAGCGTGAGCTGTAAAAATTATACGGAACGCGAGAAGGGACAGTGTTACCATAGAGACAGTCAAATCTTTGTTTAAGACCGACATATTCAATAGATAGGTTGTTAGAAATATATATCATACGCCTTATTTGTAATTAGAATATTTTTGTTGGAAAAAATGTAACCAAAAATAATAAAACGTATAACTTTGAACTCATTCTGCAGGGACATTTGCCGTAAAGCAAAGCGTCGTAATATATTCAACCGATTCTCATTTCCGAGAGTCTGTTCATTCAGGTAGTTCAAAACACCACTTCAGCGATTAATTTAAGTATTATTTGACCAAATCTCGAGACAGTCAATGATATCGCAGAGTGACCTGCTCTAAAACTCTAAAACCAGTAAATCCATGTAGGCACTGAACGTTACTGCCGTTTTTCGATATATATGGGAGTATATTGTAATGTAATGCGTCCCTGTCCAGTTGTTGCAGCCATAATTTAGCTAATAACACAACGCAAAGTCATTAAGAATCAAAATATTTGCATTGACACTGAAAAATATAAAAATTCACAAATATGTTTTACATTTCAGTCGGATTTGCTAACGAATAAATCAGACCTGGTGTTTCGTTTTAACGGAGTTGTCGGCTCAACCGACTCACTGAAAAGATCCAAATCAAAAGAACGATTCGCTCGCGAATCGGACATCCGTGATCATCAATATGGCGGCCTCCGTGGTGACTTGGGCTGGTGAGTCAAACCAAATATACTTTCTTTTTATTTACACGTATATATGCATTTCCGTTAATTTTGTTTTAACTGGAAATTACATGGACATTGTTTATAGGTTTAGCCGCCATTGGTCGTGCTTGTGGACATATTCGCTCTAGGTAAGAAAACCACATGCAGTTGCTGTGAAATGTAAAAGGACACCGACTGAAAACTAATAAAATCAGTGTGACTGTGTCTTAAAACATACTTAGCTACCTAGATAAACAGCATTTTTGGGCATTAATGTGCTGTTTAATGCTAGGTTTTGAGCCGCAGCCTATTTATTGGTTTACAATCTGTCTTGCTCCATTTAGGTTGCTTGGATCTTCATCAACGTTATCTCAGGTGTCTTGTCTTCACACAAGTACAGAGTTAAATAGCAAACACTGGGAAAGGAAAAGTCTGATTGTATATCCACCACAACAGAAAGATGAACCACGCAGACCTGCTGTTAGTAATTCATTTAATTTACTGTTGCATGTAATGAAGTTCTTTATGGGGTTAAATTGGTTTAGAGTTTGACTTTTTTTTATGTATAATAGGAGATTTATCACTGCAGACGACAGATTAAATACAGCAAAGACAAGATGTGGTACTTGGCTAAATTGGTGAGTAATATTTGTAAGGACTCATTTATTGATAGTTGCACTTTAGTAGGTAACATGGCATATGCATCGCATATGGAGTAATAATATATAGTTGGTTACATTATTTTGGTGATGAATGTTTTTACAGATCAGAGGTATGACCATTGACCAAGCACTCACTCAGCTCGAGTTCAACGACAAGAAGGGAGCTAAAATAATCAAAGAGGTAAAAATACAAACAGTGATATGACAGGAATATCTGTTGAACTGCTCAAATAGTATTGATTAAAATATGTATTTTGCAGTAAAAAAATCATACAGTGTCACACTTTTGAAGTGAAAGTTATTTATGTGTTAAAGGTGATATTGGAAGCTCAGGACATGGCGGTCAGAAATCTCAATGTGGAATACAAATCAAATCTATATATTGGTAAGTTTGATACCTGCCAAACATTAACATGAAAACGATTAGTACACTTGTTGTTGTTTTTCTTGTGGAGTAATGTTTTTTTTTTTTTTGTGCATTCAAAAAATGTTATTTCAGCATTTCAACCTGCTTAAAGTATCTTTCATTTATCAGCCAGCTCTGGTCCCCTTCAGTTGAAATTGTATTATCGGTGGGTGGGCAATAACACATTTGGAGGGGCATTGCCCGCAAATGCCCCCTCATGGTGCCAGTTGTGTCAGCACTACAGTCCATAGGGTTTAAAAAAATTCAATAATCCAAAAAATAATTTGCAAGCAATTTTTTTTTTTTGAGACACAGAAGAAACATTTTGATGTGTTTGCAAGCTAGCCCATTTCAAATTCAAAAAGTTTTCTGAGACTCGACCACAAAACAAAACAAAAAAATTAATTGGTGGTTTTGCTTAAGACCAAGCGGCAGCCTCCGGCTCTCTCTCCTGAAGCCAACAAGTGACTTAAACTGTAATTCATAAACTGGCCGCTAGAGGCTGGCTGCAAAAGGGAGTCAATCACATAGACTCCGCATGTTAAAATGCCCAACTTTACAGCAGAAAAAAACATGTTTACAGTCTGGTTCAAAAAATTATTTTGGTTTATATAGCTAATTTTGCCCTTCATGGCAACTGTGAGGGGGGTGAATTTTTTTATAAGTGATCCCTTTAAATTATATTAAGCCTTAAAGTGCTGCATAATTAAGGGCGTGGCCACTTGAGTGACAGGTGGATTGCCACTGCTGTCACCACCGTCGAGCTAGGTGGGTGTGGTTTCAGCAACCAGCTCCCGCCTTTTTGCCCATTTTCGATTATCTGGGAGTGACGCGCGGTGACACGCTGCCAAGATGGCGACAGCCCGCTTTTGAGCTTCAAAAACCTCTTCAGGAACCTACGGGTGACGTCACGGACACTACGTCCATGTTTTTATACAGTCTATGCTTAAGAGACAAAATTAATCTACATTTAGTGCATGAAAAGGCAATATTTAATGTGTTATATGTTATGTATGCTTCTTTTGTATTTTATTTTGAGTAATGTATTTATTTTCTGGATTGAATGTCATTTTATGAACATGGCTCTTGGACTTCAGTTTAAACCGTTAATTGTAACATCTGAATTATGTTTTCTTTTGGTCTGACTTCCAACAGCTGAATCATTCTCTGGCAAGGGAAAATACCTAAAGCGCATTCGTTATCATGGACGTGGAATGTTCGGCATCATGGACAAAGTGCACTGCCACTACTTCGTAAAGCTTGTTGAGGGAGTCCCGCCCAAAGTTGAGCAGAAGACAGGATTCGACCAGGCCAAGGAGTATGTGGAGCAACTGAGGAACCGAACAATTATTCACTCCCTATAGTAATGTGCTCATGTAAATAATAACTGAAGAATAAAGAGATCACACCAAGCACAGCTCTTGTTTTATCTTGTGGATCAAAGATGAAGGGGTTTTCAAAAACCAAAATAATAATAAAAAAAAAGTTATTTTTCCCCTGTGCATTAAAATATAAAATAATGACTTATACATTTCTACCATAATGTACAGAAAAAAAAAACTCATTCGGTGTGACAATAGTTTATTTACTAAAAGATCTTGTCAGGCATATTTAGAACAGGAATCATTTGATGACATTAAAACACTCGTATTTAATGATCACAGTGCAGCCCCCATTAACTAATTATTTGTAGTTTTTAAATATTTACAAATCCTTGACACTGTCCTTCAAACCACTTGGTTATACCCATTTGTCAGCAAGTCGTTTTTAAGCACTTAAAATAAAATTTAGTATGGTCACTTATATATTTTAGTAAGTGCAGATCAGAATAAGTATGTAGTTTCATTTTTACATAGCTTTGCCAAACAGGAATAAACTATACATTTTAAAATGTTTTCAAATAGAAAACTTATTATACACAACATTAAGACCACTGACAGATGAAGTGAATAATATTGTAAATTACATGTCAAGTGGTGAAATATATTAGGCAGCAAGTGAATTTTGAATTTCACGTGTTGGAAAAATTATTTTGACATTGGTCAAATATAGTGATGGATAGATGACTGAATCAGAGCATCTCCAAAACAGCAAGTCTTGTGGGGTATTCCTGGTATACAGTGGTTAGTATCTAACAAAAGTGGTGGGGAGTGAGAGGCTGTCTGGTCACACAGAAGAGCTACTATAACTCAAATTGCTGAAAAATGTAATGCTGGTCATGATAGAAAAGTGTCACAATGCATTGCAGTTTTGCTGCATATGGGGCTGCACAGCAGCAGACTGGTCAAAGTCCAAACAATGACTCCTGTCTACCACCAAATTCCCCAGATCAAAAGCCGATGGGATATATGGGATGTTGTGGATGGACAAATCCAATATGGAGGCTCCACCTCCCAAATTGCAGGCCTGCTCTGCTGCTACAGGTGTTGACATTTCCCAACAGCACAGCAGTAATGACTTTATGAACTACTTTACTTCCAAGATCGATACTATTAGAGATAAAATTGTAACCATGCAGCCGTCAGCTACAGTATCAGATAGTGTGCTATAGGAACAATTCCACTCATTCTCTACTATAGGAGAGGAAGAATTGTATAAACTTGTTAAATCATCTAAACCAACAACATGTATGTTAGACCCTATTCCATCTAAGCTCCAAAAAGAGGTGCTTCCAGAAGTCATAGATCCTCTTCTGACTATTATTAATTCGTCATTGTCATTAGGATATGTCCCCAAAACCTTAAAACTGGCTGTTATTAAGCCTCTCATCAAAAAACCACAAAAACACAACTTGACCCCAAAGAACTAGTTAATTACAGACCGATCTCAAATCTCCCTTTTCTGTCCAAGATACTAGAAAAGGTAGTATCCTCACAATTATATTCCTTCTTAGAGAAAAATGGGGTAACGCTTTAGATTACAACCCGCAAAGAACTGAATTTACAGTGTACGTTTCTGTAATTATAGTGCATCTATAAAGAACATACGTGTAGGTATAAGGGAACAATGTGTTACGTTTGGGTAATAAGGGGGTAACAACCAGATATGCAACATGCAAAGAACTGCGTAAGTAAACTGAAGTTACAGTGTAACTTTTTTGTAATTATAGTCTACCTATTCAGTACCTCCGTGTAGGTATAAGGGAATAATATGCAAAGTTTGGGGAATAAAGGAGTATCAACCTGTAAAATTACAAATCATTT